TTTTGTAATACTTCAACATTCATAACACATGAAAGTAACACTTACCAATAAAAATGAAGGAAAAATTGTCAAATTGGCCCTCGAAGTATACCTAAAAAGTCAATTAAGCCCTCGAACTAAACAAACACCCAATCAAGTCCCTGAACAATACAAAAACGTTCAAAATTGTAATTTAGCCGGTTGATACCAAGTTAGCCGGTAAATATGTTGACGTGGCAGCCCGGGTGGCATATTTTTCTTGTTTTTCCTTTTTTCCCTTTTCTTTTTTCCCTGGTTCTTTCTTCCACGCAAGCAAACGACCTCCTCTTCTTCATTCTTCTTCAACCTAGCCCGAGCCCGCCCCACCCTTCTTCCCCATCTTTCAACCTGCTTCTTTTTCTACGGCAAGCCCCACCCCACTCTCTTCTTTTTTCTTCGTCAACCCACCACACCAAGAAAATACACCTATTGTATGATACTTGACTACACACGCCTCAAGTCCCCAACTATACGTACCTCTAATTAAATAAACGATTAACTAATGGATTAAAAATAAGTAAACTGTCCCATACAAAAACACGGAATACAAATAAACGGCGTGCCTTTGCTTCTGTTCCATGATCGTCTCAATCCTTTTACAACATACGAAGTATCACTCTCCTTCCACACTTGCTTTTCAATCCAACGCTATACTATTTTCACGGATTAAGCAACAAAAATGGTCGACGTTTACCGAAGAATGGCCGGTCTGAACCCGGCTCTTCTAGCCGGCCTCTGTCGTTTCTAAGGCCAGAGCTGCCTCTCCACACCTTCTAACCCAGTTCCAGCCCGCAATAGTCTCTTGTACTTCACACCGTTAGTCCATACAGCTATTGTCCATCTTAGAAGTTGTGGCATGCGAGTATATGTATTTGCACTAGTGCAAAATCGCCGATCAAAGGCGCTTGAAATGGGCCACGTGCAGCGCTTTGAAGCGCCGCTAAAAAATGTCCCGCAAATCTCAATTGGAGGCGCTTTTTAGACATGAAGTGCCTCTAATGTTTTAAAAAAATCGGAATTTTGCGACGATTCGAATAGCAAAAGCGCCGCACGCATGAATTAAATAGAGGCGCTTTTTAACCTGGAAGCGCCTCAAAATTCTTTTTTAGAATTTAAATCGGTATTTAGAGGCGCTTCTGATGAAAAAAGTGTCTCCAAAATGTGCTACGTAAACTGAATTAGAGACGCTTCTGATGCTGAATTCGCTAAAGCTGAACCCGAGTACAGTACTGTGGCAGGTTGACAAAGAAGAAGAGAGGCGTGGGGCAGGGCCGGCAGGCTAAAGAAGGGAGGGGGAGAGGTCAGGTTGGTTGGGCTGAAGAAGAAGAAGATATAAGGGGGAGGAGGGGGTAGCGGGGATGGCTGAAGAAGAAGAACAAAGATGGGGTAAGCCGGATTAATGAAAAGAAAGACGACTTGATTGTTGATTTGGGTGGAAGAAGAAAGGAGCAGGGAAAAAGAATGAGAAAATTAAAAGAAACCAAAAAAACGAAAAACATGAAAAATGTCAGACCAGATCAGACTTGGATTGTTATAATACAAAGAACCCAGACAAGACCAGACCAGTTCACACCAAACTAGATCATCAAATTACAGACCAAATAAAAACATCCATAATCACTGGTTTACCTAATATCAACCGACTAAATTACAAGTTTGAAATTCTTTGTATAGTTCAGGGGCTTAATTGGGCGTTTCTTTAGTTTCAGGGCTTAATTGACTTTTTTTGTATATACTCTGAGGGCTAATTTAACATTTTTCCCAAAAATGAATATATGAATTACGCTGGCAGCGCTTCCAATTACTGGAGTATATGATACGTGCCGGAGTATGAGTACTCCGAATACGGTGGCAACGCTTCCAATTGGTAACCCGTTCTTGTTTTTTCAATTTACCTTTGGAACCGTCTAACGTGTAATTTTGAGTATACAGATAATTGGGAGATGGAACCCTCTAGCTAAGTAGCACCGGGACGGAAACGAAAATGGAAGCGGGGACGGAAACGGGGATGAGGAAACTCTACTCTCAAAATATCAGGATACGGGTACGGCACGGAAACGTCAGAATAAAACGCAGAAACGCTACGCAGCAGATTTAAAATGTATCGGAAACATTTCCGGCATCAGGCCCGATAGCCCAACCCGCCAGATACGTTTCCTACTGTTTCCATCCCGTTTCCGCACGTTTCCCGTTTCCGAAACGTTTCGGAAACGGAAACTCGGAGGTCCACGGCGTTTCCGTGCTTCCTAGCCCTCTAGCGTCATTTCCCATCATTCTTCTCTCCTTCGTTCGTCGGTAATTCATCCTCCATTACCAGTCGATTAACACATCAATCTCAATTTTTGGATTTAATAAATCTTCTCGAGGGTTGTAAACAAATCGAGTCGAGTCAAATAGTGCAATTTTGTATGTGTATTTGTTTAATTTTTTCGAATGCAAAACCGAACTCGAATATGAAACAAATATTATTTTCAATTTGTATTCATATTTGTTTAAATATACAAATAATTAACGATTAATATACGAATATCGAATCGATTTGATCACAAGTTTAATATTAGTCAAATATCACTTTAAAACAACTTTTCATATATTTCTTATATTACAAATGCATGCTATGACTTAATATGTGTTTTATAATTTAATTTGTAACATTACATTTTTCTTTACAATTTAACAGATCAAGTCGAATAGTGCAATTTTGTATTTGTATTTGTTTAATTTTTTCGAATACAAACTCGAACTCGAATATGAAACAAAAATTATTTTCGATTTGTATTCGTATTTGTTTAACTATACGAATAATTAACGATTAATATACGAATATCAAATCGATTTGATCACAAGTTTAATATTAGTCAAATATCACTTTAAAACAACTTTTCATATATTTCTTATGTTAGAAATGCATGCTATGACTTAATATGTGTTTTATAATTTAATTTGTAACATTACATTTTTCTTTACAATTTAACAGATTGATGCATTTTTATGATACTTCTGATTTATTACAAATTTGTTTGGAACGTATGTACGTAAATGTTTATACTCCTTATGTATAGCTTTTAAAAGTTATTATACTGTCATTACTAGTATTTTTACTATTATTATTATCGTTGTCATCGTCGTCGTCGTCGCCGTCATCATCATCCTCATCGTCATTGTCACGTCACAGCACGACACGTCACCGTCACCGTCACCATCACCACCACCACCACCACCACCACCATCACCATCACCATCACCATCACCATCACCATCACCATCACCATCACCATCACCATCACCATCACCATCACCATCACCATCACCATCACCATCACCATCACCATCACCATCACCATCACCATCACCATCATATATATTACTCATACACCTGTGCTGCTGAAATACATCATCTAAGTACTTATATAATTATTTGTAACCTAACATTAACACAAGATATAAATTATAAACTAGTAAAATAAAAATCAATATAATCCTATACACATCGAGACAGTAAGAGATTGAATTGAATTTCTATGATCATCTAAAATCAATGTAATTTTTGGTTCACTTGTGACTTGTGCTCATCATGGTATCAACAAATCTGGATAAAAAAATTATTCTGATTAATTGGATTCTATAGTGCAGTAAGATAAAATGTGTACATTAAGAAAGAATTCGAGGTGTGCTAGGTATAGTAAATGGTTGAGTTTTATATGTTAGAAATCTATAATGATTTGATGAGAGTAAGCAAATCATTGACAGTAATAAAATGAAGGAAAAGTGATAGTAATAATCCCAACTATTGACAGTCCGCTTATAATAATCTCAACTATCGATTATTTCAGAATAATCCCAACTTTAGGTACCTTCCGCCAATAATGGTCCGATGTGATCGATTATAAATAAATTCTAAAGTGGATGAGAAGAGATATATAGAAAGTAATCCCTATAAATAATCTCAACTTTTAATTTTTACGCTTAATTCTATTTAAAATACACTTGTTATAGGAGGTAATATCTAATCATGGACCATCATTGGCGAACGGTCTATAAAGTTGAGATTATACAAAAGTAATCAATAGTTGGGATTATTGTTAGCGGACTGACACTTTCAGACATTTAATAATTAGAGAATAACTCAACATTAAACAATGGGATTTTGACATCAAATTTAATAATTAGAGAATAACTCTACATTTAATCTTAATGCAGAAGCTTGGTGTTAAGGCTGTAACTTTCAGACAAATCCAATCCTCTTGTGCACCAAGGTAATTCAAATTGAAAGTGTTTGCTTGTGTTAATTATCTAATTTCTTCGCGCACACTGGATATATCTGTGTGTGTATATAATTACTTAAGGTATATTATGATCTTGTGGTTTTCTCCCTTTATCAATTATATGAAGTTTGCATTTTTCAGTTGTTTGCATTGTAAAGTCGTCATACTTCTTTTCCTTTTATCGGAAGAGGCAGAAGACATTACAATAGGCTAAATGCATATCATATCACTTTTGTAAAAGATAAGTCATTTGTTTGAAGTTCAGTAATTATTCTATCAAATTACTGGTCAATATATATATATATATATTAATATATATACATATACATATATGTATGTATGTATATATGTATATATATATACATATATACATATATGTGTATACATGTACATATATACATATATGTGTATACATGTACGTATATATACATGTATACATGTACATATATACATGTATGTATACATGTACATATATATACATGTATGTATACATGTACATATATATACATGTATGTATACATGTACATATATATACATGTATGTATACATGTACATATATATACATGTACATATATCTACATGTATGTATACATGTACATATATCTACATGTACATATATCTACATGTATGTATACATGTACATATATCTACATGTATGTATACATGTACATATATATATATATATACATACATACATACATATATATATATATATGTGTAGCGAAGTTATATGATACTAGAATGAATTGCTAGTCAATCCAGTTATCTTGGATATAAAATGATCAATAACAAATTTGTTAAGCATAATGGAGGTAAAATAATGTTGGTCCTCCTAGCCTATGTTTCGGTGTAGCAGTGAGGATTTTCAGTCATTTACTTAATTGTTCACATTTTACACTTGCCTGTCTGCATCAGTATCCAAAAATGTTCCATACTATGCTATAGTCATTCTTCAGTTTACAAACATGCAATAATTCATTATTCTCGGAAAAGACTTGCTTCATGATTGGGGCTTTTGCTTCTCAAGATTTGTTAAATGTCTTGGATGACATGCATTTCATTTGAACCTTAAGAAAGTGAAAGCATTATGAACATACACATATCCCAATTAAGCTACTTATATTTTCATACTACCATTTTTCTTTTATGATTTCAGAAGTCTATTGCAAGGAATAGGAACTAGAGGTATTACTTGTTAGATCGGAAACTAAAGTGCATATGACAGCACCTCCACATAGTCATACTTTTAATTTGATTTGTCTTGGTAATGCAGAAATAGATATTAAAGCACTTCGAGCTCTTCAATATCATCCAATCTTGAATGATATGATACCCCCTGCTTCACCCACTATTCCACCTGATCAATTACCTACTGCTAAGCATGTGGTCATGGAATTGAAGCATCTCGAATCTGTCATCCAAGAACACCAAAGAGGGCTTAATATCTTATCAACTAAGGAGCTTGCTGAGCGTATATGCCGCAATCATATGATTGTTTCAAAGTTTTCTCAAACTGATGGAGATGTTGTCACAACACCGCAACAAATGCAAGGTCAAATTGGATAAATTCAAGGCCAAATGGGACAAATGCAAGTCCAAATCGAACAGATTCAAGGACAAATGGGGCGGGCATATGCAAGGTCAGATAATGGCACTCACAAACCAAATTAAAGCGTTCATTGCCTTGGTGATAGCTTAAATTGGCCAATTAAACGCGATTGTAGGACAAATAACTGACCAAGTAAGACATGAAATCGAGCTTCTAAATGTAAGGTTAGACGTATCTGCTGCCCGAGCTCACAATTCTGCAAACACATCAAATGCTTAAATCCTCTTCATCCAATAATGAAAACTATTCTCAATCATTCTGACCCACAACCACATCCAACTTTTCACTTCAACGAAAACTCATATCCAATTGGCACACCACCCCCAGATGGACTTGTTACACACACTTTTGAAGCCATTAATGCCATTGATAATCATCACCACTTTGATGCAATATATTGGTTCTATAACGATGCAAAACTTGCGAGAGGAGACAAAATTTTGATCTAACGACAATCAACGGTTATTGTTTTTGTCTATTTTTATTCATCATAATTTTTATAAATAGTTATTATGATTTGGACATATTCAAGATCATTTATGTCCATTCATAATTATTTACAAAAATTATGAAGAATGAAAATGAAACAAATAATAACTTAGCTCTTAATAAAGGTTGCAAGCGTTGATCGTCGTTGGATCAAGTGTTTGTCCTCTTGCAAGTTTCGTATCGTTATAGAACCAATATTTTGCATTAATGATAATCATCACCACTTTGATGTAATATATTGGTTCTATAACGATGCAAAACTTGCGAGAGGAGACAAAAATTTGATCTAACGACAATCAACGCTTGCAACATTTATGAAGAGTTAGGTTATTACTTTTGTCCATTTTTATTCTTCATAATTTTTATAAATAGTTATAAATGGACAGAAATGGCCTTGAATATGTCCAAATCAGAATAACTATTTATAAAATTATGAAGAATGAAAATGAAACAAATAATAACCTAATTCTTCATAAAGGTTGCAAGCGTTGATCGTCGTTGGATCAAGTGTTTCTCCTCTTGCAAGTTTCGCATTGTTATAGAACCAATATTTTGCATCAAAAGTGGTGATGATTATCAATGACATTAATGACTTCAAAAGTGTGTGGAACAAGTCCATCTATGGGTGGTGTGCCAATTGGATATGAGTTGACATTGAAGTGGAAAGTTGGATGTGGTTGTGGGTCGGGATGGTTAGGAATAGTTTTCACTATTGGACGAAGAGGGTTTAAAGCATTTGATGTGTTTGCGGAATTGTGAGCCCGAGCAGCAGATGTGTCCAACCTTACACTTAGAAGCTCAATTTGTTGTCCTACTTGACTAGTTATTTGTCCTACAATCGCGTTCAATTGGCCATTTTGAGATGTCACCAAGGCAGTGAGCACCAGTGCCATGATCTGGCCTTGCATATGTCCCATTTATCCTTGAATATGTCAGATTTGGATTTGCATTTGTCCCATTTGGGCTTGAATTTGTCCAATTTGATCTTGCATTTCTTGCGCTATTTAACAACATCTCCATCAGTTTAAGAAAACCTTAAAACAATCATATGATTGCGGCGTATACGCTCAACAAGCTCTTTGGTTGATAAGATATTAAACCCTCTTTGGTGTTACTAGACGACAGATCTGAGATGCTTCAATTCCATGACCATGTGGAATAACGGGTAAATCAGGGGGTATCATATCATTCAAGATTGAATGATATTGAAGAGCTAGAAGTGTTGTAATATCCATTTCTGCATTACCAAAACAAATCAAATTAAAAGTATGACTGTGTGGAGTTGTTGTCATATTCACTTCAGTTCCTAATCTAACAAATAATATATTTAGTTCCTATTCCTTACAACAGACTTCTGAAATCATAAAAGAAAAATGTTAGTATAAAAATATAAGTAGCTTAATTGGGATATGTGTATGTTCATAATGATTTCACTTTCTTAAAATTCAAATGAAATGCATACAGCCAAAGAACGTCAACAATAATAGTGATGATTACACTACGCTTTAACATTGTTAAAAATAGTCATATAATGATACATGTCATCCAAAACATCTAACAAATCTTGAGAAGCAAAAGCCTCAATCATGAAGGAAGTCTCTTCTGAGAATAATGAATTATTACATATTTGTAAACCGAAGAATGGCTATAGCATAGTATGAAACATTTTTGGATAGAATTGTCAGAGAAAAACACATGTTTCCATGCTTGAAAGTCTACTGATGCAGACAGGCAGGTGTAAAATGTTAACAATATTCGAAGTGAACAATTAAGTAAATGACTGAAAACCCTTACTTCTACACCAAAAATAGGATATGAGGACCAACATTATTTACCTCCATTATGCTTAACAAATTTGTTGTTGATCATTTTATTGCCAAGATAACTGGATTGACTAGCAACTCATCCTAGTATCATATAACATGGCTACATACATACACACACACATGTGTGTGTTGAGTTTTAATCCAACACGATATAATTAATATAGATATAAATATGGTATGATTACTCTGTTTTTACGTGGAAACCCGGAAATGGAGAAAATCACGAAACTTTTTAGGCTAATGTCTAATGCCTCTCATTTTATTATTGCTCTCCTCGCCACCATGGAGTATTTTGCTACTCACTAGAGAGAAGAGGGGGGGGGGGGGGGGGAGAAAAGGATCCCTAAAAATAGGAGGGAAGCCCTCTATTTATAGAAAATAGAGGGGAGGGTGCAAAACTACCCTAACGGGCCAAGTGGACCAAAATGGGCCCAAACGGCCAAGACAGGCCAGAAAAGGCTGACAACGGGCCTCACTGATCAGACTCCGTACTAGGTAATGTCTTGGGCTCCTGAATAATGGTAGGCCGGGATAATATACCTCAACACAAGTCCCCCATTTTTTTGAGTAGTGAGCGTGCGAATCTGCTCGAGAAAGTATACTATTGCTCGCACTCTTCCTTATCTTTCTTGAACCTGTGTCTTTGAATAATCCTACTACATGAGTGGGTATTTGCCCCTCTGAACATAATCTGCCGGTAAGGCGCTCTCCCTCCCGACTATATCGGGCAAGGGATGCTCTTCCCCGAACATTCTCCCCCTGAATGTATCAGGCGAGAGTAAAGGACTCTGACCCGGTTTTTCTTAGTTGAGAAGCTTAGAGGCCTCTGTACATATAAAACCGACGACATGGAGAGGACGAGATACGATGTATGTGTGTACGCATGAATGTATGAGATATGATGCATGAATGTATGAATCCACGTAATGTATGAGAGGGTATGTCAGGCGTGATATAAAGTGGCGGGTCCCATCCTAGAAAGGAATGGTGATCCCAAACATGAACTACACATGATGGCGCTAAGGGGCCGATCGTGCTGCATAAGACGGTGGTCCCCATCCTGGAAGGAATGGGCGAGCCCGACCGTGAACTAGACACGATGGCACTGAGGAACCGATCATGCTGCATCAGACGGTGGTCCCCATCCTAGATGGAATGGGTGATCCTCCGTTTTCATTCAACCACCCTCTCACCGGTCCTCTGCACTTTCATTGGGCTTGTGCTTCGTAGCCTGGCCTTTGATGTCGTGCTACGTGAGGCCTATGATCTTGATGAAGAATAGGTTTATTTCTTTCGGAATTCCCTGGTTTTCGTTCAAACACCCTCTCCGGTCCTCTGCACTTCTGTTGGGTTTGTGCTTTGCAGCCTGGCCTTTGAGGTCGTGCTGCGCGAGGCCTATGATCTTCATGAAGAACAGGTTTATTCCTTTCGGAATTCCCTGGGTTTTGTTCAAACACCCTGTCACCGGTCCTCTGCACTTCCAGTTGGGCTTGTGCTTCGCAACTCGGCCTTTGAGGCCGTGCTACGTGAGGCCTACGATCTTGATGAAGAACAGATTTATCCTTTTCGGGATCCCTCTTTGTAACACCCCAGTCCCGCAGGACCCGAGTTAGTTACTCAAGACCTCTCTCCGGACCTCTAGTAATGTACTCACAAACCGCCACTAGCCTTTTCCGCGCACTTTGTCCTCATTCGTGCGTGCCCTGAGAAACTTCCCAGGGGGTCATCCATGGCAAGACTACTCTCGTGCAATCACACTTAATTTTGGAGTTCTTAGCTGATGAGCTCCTTTAAAAGAGATGCACCTTGTTTGTATGAGTAGTACTATTAATCCTTTTTTAAATTAATCTCAAGTGTTACAATCACCCCCACTTGGGATCACAATGTCCTCGTTGCGCCTATAAACCAATTCAATCTCAATCATATCCCAGAATCTTCCCCTGCTAAGTGCTCGCCTGATCCAAAGGATCAGCACACTGTCGCAGGGTTGCTCCGATACCACCTGTAACACCCCAGCCCCGCAGGACTCGAGTTAGTTACTCCAGACATCTCTCCAGACCTCTAAAACTGTCAAAACAACCGCCATTAGCCTTTTCCGCGCACATTGCCCTCACTTGTGTGTGCCCTGAGAAACTTCGCGGGAGGTCACCCATCGCAAGACTATTCTCGTGCAAGCATGCTTAACTTTGGAGTTCTTTGCTGATGAGCTCCCTTAAAAGGAGATGCAACTTGTTTGTATGAGTAGTACTATTAATCATTTTTTAAATTAATCTCAAGTGTTACACTCGTGCACGGCCTCAAAGCACCTTTTTTAGGGGAGATTTTCTAATTTTCGTTCAAACACCCTCTCAGTGGTCCTCTGCACTTCCGTTGGGCTTGTGCTTTGCAACCTGGCCTTTGAGGTTGTGCTGCGCGAGGCCTATGATCTTGACGAAGAACATGTTTATTCCTTTCAAAATTCCTTGGGTTTCATTCAAACACCCTCTTACCGGTCCTCTGCACTTCCAGTTGGGCTTGTGCTTCGCAGCTCAGCCTTTGAGGTCGTGTTGTGCAAGGCCTATAATCTTAATGAAGAACAGGTTTATCTTTTTCGAGATTCCCTTTTCCCCCTCTTTTTTTTGAGGGGGGTAGTCGTTTCTTGGTTCCCTGAACGAATAAAAGAAGTGCCAAATCTGATGGTGCTGGGATACCGGTCCAAAATATGATGATGAGGCGATGTAGAGTCAATCGTGATGCGAAGGCGATGGTCACCATCCGGGAGGGGAGTGGTGAGCCCGATCGCTAACTCGATAAATTCGGCATTAGGAGCTGATATTGATAGATAATCATATTGTCACTGAGCAGTTGGCCCTGATAAGAGGAGGACAATAGTGTCAGGCCGAAACATTCGAGCAACGACTCATATCCGCAGAGCGCGGGGGATGCGACCTATCTTTAAAAAAGATAATCACGTCGTGCCGAGCGGTCGATCAAGAATATCCTAGCAATGGTCCTCATCCCCGCAGCACGGAATGAGACCGGTCTGTGAATATGATGATGGCACCGTACCCGGATGTCGGTGGCCATGTAAAGATGTTGGCACTCAGGCCGATATGAAAGAGTCAAGCAACGGTTCTCATCTGTGAGGAGCGGGGACGAGGCCGGTCTTCAAATATAATAATGGCACTGTACCAAGGGGTCAAGGGCCATGTAAAGATGTCGGCACTGAGGCCGATCTGAAAGAGTCAAGCAACGTTCCTCATCCGTGAGGAGCGGGGACGAGACCGGTGTTCTAAAAGGCAAACCCACACCTTCCTAGAGAAATCATCAATAATAGAAAGGAAATATTTCCTACCCTCATGAGTAAGAACACTGGCAGGACCCCAAACATCGGCATGAACATATTCAAGTACAGATGAACAGTTAGACAGATTAGGGTAAGAGGATTAGGAAAGCTAACTCTATGCTGCTTGCCGAACACACATGATTCACAGAAAGGCACAGAAGTCACAGTGTCTTTACCAAAACAACCAGACTTATGCATGATATCTAAACCCTTTTATTGCTCATATGCCCTAGCCTATTATGCCACAAAGAGGTCTTATCAGCACATACAACATTCACAGAATCAGCAAAAGGTTTAGCATAACACACATAAAGGTTATTCACCTTCTCAGCATTAAACAAAACAAGAGAATTTTTCAGGATTTTCATGCAACCATTCCCCCATTTTCCCTGTAAACCATTACTCTCCAAAGCAGCAACAGATAACAAGTTATGACACAAATCAGGAACATGCCTCACAATTTTAATGGTAAACACAGAGCCACAAGAAAATTTCAGACATATATCACCAACACCAAGCACATTACATCTCTTATGATCAGCCAAGGAAACATAACCACTATCACATACTTCATATGTAGAAAACAAATCTCTAAAGGGGGACATGTGATAGGTACAACCAGAGTCAATCAACCATTCATGCTCAGACAGGGAATTACGCACAGAATTAACATGGTCACAAACCATCAAAACCTCACCAAGGTCACATCTATCAACAGCTACATTAGCATGCTCGGTCTTCTTAGGGTTAGGGCAATCCTTAATGGCGTTATCAGCCAGCGTTACCACAATTGTAACACACTCTCTTCCTAGATTTGTTCCTCTTCCTCCATGGCTGACTAGTGTTCTTACTTTGACTATTTTGCTTAAAGTGCTTAGACCTACTCTTAGATCTACCTCTAACAAACATAGCCTCATCGGGGTCCCTGGACTGACTATGACTACCCCTAGCATGGTTCAAGTCTAATTCATCACTCCTTAACCCATTAACGACAATATCTAGCGAAATCTCATCCCTACCATATTTAATAGCGGACTTAACATCATTATAAGAGTCAGGAATGTCATTAAGTAACACTATGGGAGTATAATCGTCTATGTGTTTATCACCTGCCTGTTTGATATTCAGTATCAGTTTATTACTTTATTAAACACATCCAGGTTCTCATCTAAATCCTTAGTCAGGTCAAACCTAAATCTAAAGAATTTCTCAAGTAAAAACAACTTCTCAGGCAAAGAGATATCAATATAGAGATTATCCAATTTCTCCCACAAAGCCTTAGCGGATTCAAGAATACCCACTTTCCTAAGCACACAATCAAGCAGATTCAAGTAAATAGTAGAACAAGCAATTTCGTTCATTTCAATTTGCTTAGCAATTTCGTTCATTTTTTGTTTCCATATGTCAAAATCCGTTTTTCCGTTAAACGGAAGCATGCCATACTGATTAGCAGTCATGGTATCAACCACAAAACAACACAAACAAATTTTACAGAAAATAAATCAACCTGGGCTATAAAGTATCCACTTTAATGACCCTGGGCAGCATGCAACAACTAGCAATTTTGGACAGTTTGGCACATAAAACAACTCCTAGCAGCAAGACTTGAAATTAACAACACTTTGCAATTCAATTTAATCAACTAAAATAATCTGCCACAAAGGAGAGGGTTTAGAAAACGCACCTGGTTGTTGGCGGCCAGGATACAATATAACGGCGGCCCACGGGGAGGGGGAATAAATTAAATCCGGAGGCACCCGGTGCACCTAGGGTGTTTATAGCCAATTTACCTTAGCGAAACCCTAGGAAAGAGTTTCGACCTTACCTACCCAATTAAAATTGGGATTTTTCGGACTGTTGACTGAGTTTAACCGGCGTTGACCACCGTTGACCGGTGTTGACCGGCATTGACCGGTGTTGACCGGCATTGACTACCTCCAGGTCCATCAACCCAGCAGTAGCTTCAGCCCAGCAGTCCAATTGGCCCAGTCCAGCAGCTCCTTCAGCAATCTAGTAGCTTTTCAGCAGCCCAGCAGCTCCATCAGTCCAGGTTCAGCTGCTCCAGTCCAGAAGCCCAACGGCCCAATTGCTGAAGCCCAGCAGTCCTCCAACCGTCCAAGCTTCAGCGTACAGGTCCAAGCTCCGGCTTCCAGAGCTTTCTGCGAGCAACGAAGATCCAACAATGAGCTCTGAAGCACGAGCGACCAGGGACGGATCTAGCTTTGGCATCCAGGTGGGGCCAAAATGTAATTAAAAACGAATATTCAAAAAAACATTTATTCTAGCAACAAAATCAAAGACAAAAAAAAAGATTATAAAAATAAGAGTTTTCATTAAAGTCAAATACAAAAATACCATAATTTTACAACTGTTCTCTACGGGTTTTCATCGATTGATATCGTTTGATTATGACATCATTGCCAATTTTCAAGAAGATGTCTTCTTCTACATAAACAATAAGTCTATCATTGAGTTGGTCATCACTCATCCGGTTGTTCAACCTATCTTTCACTATATTCATTGCTGAAAATACTCTTTCAACACTTGCGGTTGCAACAGGAAGATTGAAACACAATCTTGAATTCATATCAATACATAAATTTACATAATTTACAATAATATTCATTACAATTTACAAGTTCACAAATAATAATCAAATTCATATCAAGCAAAGCTGTAATTTAGTCTTTAACTTGAATTAAAAACACAAAAAATTTAAAAGATTAAAAAAAATACCTCTTAACCACTTATGACTTTATTGACTTAGGCAGCACTTTTCCTTTTTTATGTTACGAAAAAACCCCAAATATCCTCTTCTCAAAACTTCAAAAGTATCTGTTATACACAAGAATTTGTTAGTTTACTGAATTTAGGGAAGAAATTGATCAGTAACATTCACCTTACCTTCTTATTAAGAGGGATAGCTTTTAGCTTGTTTGATGACAAAGAGAAATGAGAGGATTTAGAGTAGCAGCCTGCCGCCGCCGTGCGCCGTCCTGTCCTGGCCATCCGGCAGTGAAGATGGCCGTCGCTCGTCGCCCCGTCGCGGCGTCGCCCGTCTGGAGTTCGTGTGTCGTTTTTGGCGTGGGGTTTTCACGATATCGGCGAAGCAGAAGGAGTAAGGAATGCTCCGCTGCTCTTGCTCTTTCCTTGCGCACGGTTTTTTGGAGTACTCGAACTGGGCCTGATTTTTTAAAATTTGAGACAGGGCCTATTTTATAAACCTACATACTACTACGTAGTTAAAAAAATAAAAAATTTGAGCATGGGCCTGGGCCCTCCCTGGCCCTAGGCCCAATCCGCCCCTGCGAGCGACGACCGGCGGCTCTACCGGCAAATTCCAGCTACGCTTTCCAAGCAAACGGCGAGATTCACCGGTGACGGAATTCCGGGGACCTGCGAGCGACTGATGAACGGCGGATGAACTTCCAGGTAACGTGAACCAGATTCGAAGCGAACAAGAAGCAACGGCACCAAGCGAAGCTTCACGGACGACCGATGACCTCCAGGACCTCGAATCGACGGACGGCGGAGGACGGCGGAACCCTCTCTGATACCACTGTTATGATCTTATATCCGTCTGGGGCTCAGGTCTCAGCAAATGGCTCACACACATCAACTCTAGGATGACCTCTCCGCTCACCAAGCTTTTCTCCTACAACTAAGGAACCTCTCTACTCACACACAAAGGATGAAGAAGGGGTAGAGCACTGCTCTGTGTTTTCTCACGCAGGCTACTGATAACAAAGGAGATAATATACTACCTCCATCCCTTAAAACTTTGCCAAAGTTGAGTGGCACGGAGAATAATAAAGTAAAAACTGTGTGATTGAGGTTTGTGCAGAGGAGAAAGAAATAACAGAAACCACAAAATAATTGATTAAAAGGGAAAATGGCAAAAAAAATTGGGACGTCCCAAAAAGGAAAGATGGCAAAGTTTTAAGGGACGGAGAGAGTAATAGGCAGACTGCCTATTATTGCTCACGGGTGTAATTGACAAACAAGGGGCTCCAGATAACAACACTAATGGGCTGCGAGAAGCGGACAACAACAAAAGGGGAGGGGCCATATCAGTAGGTAAGTCAACGGCTAGGAAGAGGTAAAAATAGGCATCACAAAGTGGGAGTAAACATTGGGTGTAAGTCAATCACTAGTGGAAAATATGGATTTAATAACGGTTATAATTGACTTTTAATAACGGTTCAGAACCGTTATTGTTTCAGCAGCTATTAAAAGTCCAATACTTTTAATATGGGTTCGGGAACTGTTATGGAAGTTTTTTTAATAACGGTTCATACAGAACCGTTATTCAAACATGCAATAGCGGTTATACATTAACCGTTATTAAAGATTTTCAATATGGGATTAATCAACCCATATGAAATGTCTTCCTAACATTTAATTCATACCCAGCTATTTCTAAATATCAGAAATTTACACATATCATCACAGGAACATTTATCGCAACAAAGTAAACACATATCATTGCTCATAACTAATAAAATTCCACATTCACATTATTTTGATCCAAAAATATTCAGCAAAAACTAGGTATGAGTTTACAACATTCATCAAAAACTAACTTTGAGTTCACTAAAACTATGAGTTCACAAGACTCATCAAAAACTAGCTAAGAGTCTAAAAATTAATTATATCAAAGCACGGGCCAGCTGCAGTCCAAGCAGGTTGGCCTGTGCTTGTCAGGCGCATTGCAGAAGCCTGTTACCCGTGATGCTGCTTTTCTCCATGTGTACACATGCAGAATACGGGGTCGGGTGAATGAGGGTAGCGGATTCCCCCCATGGGTGCCTTGAACCTACTTTGGCACCCTTGAATACATTTTTTCCCGGATTGCAGGACATCGGGTGAAAACCCCAAAATTGGCATTTCCACCCCAGGGTTGCAGTCATCCTTAGGAAATCATTTTCTAAATAAATGGAACGAATAAATGACAATGTGGCCCGTCACAAAAATTCACAGAAAAATCTGTCAAACAAGACCAATCTTAAAGTTCTGATTTGCAGGAACTCTGCAACATTTCTTGTTTATTCAGGAAGGAACTTTAAGGGATGAGATTTTGAGAAAACAACCATCATTAGTTACTGAGCAAAAAAGAAGGGTTCAGACATGCAGAAATCTCAGTAAAATATTCAGTGGCGCTTATTACCGGTTGCAACTTCCCATTAACTGAATTGTACTCCTATTATATAAAGAGTCTGACTAATAACTAAATATATGAAATGTTTTGAAAAACTAATCACATCTGTCATATAGAGTAAAGGTTTTAACTTTTTCGGGAGGCTGAAGGATATAACTAACAAAAGGACGCGACACAATCTATAAAAAACGCTCAAGGCACCTGAGCAAACACAAAAGGACCACCATCCAGCATGCGAAGTGCATCACACTCCATAACAGAGAGATCTGTTCCAACAGCTGCTGCCAGATCAGTCTTGTTTATAAGCTACATCGAGTGATACAAGAGCAGAAAAATCAGCAGCAACATGTGTAGTGGGGGGGGGAAGAAATCAACTCATACACATGAATGGATAGAAGCAGGAAGCCACTTACAAGGAGGTCAGCTTGGGTAATTCCGGGAGTTGGCTGACTATATCATCTACATAATAGATGTGTCCGCAGGCGATAAAATACCACAAGAAGAGCCTGATATCACCTCCAGCTTAAGTAGTACACTTCCTGCATTTGTAACAAGAACATATGATGAAATGTTTTACATGATGACATCTTGGTGACACAAAAACATAAGAAAAAAAGTAAAACACTGCTTATAATTGATTAAAAAAAGTTGCTTTGATCACTGATATACTTCGGAACTAATTCCATACGTTTCTTAGCATTTTCACTTTTTCCTTGTTATAGCTCTTCGTGAAACTGAGTTTATCCCATCCAGCTTAAGTGTTTGCCCCAATAACGTATAATCTTCTGAAGTATCACCAATATCAAGGACAACACTGTCACTTGAAATAACGTTCCAACCTTTCATTTCCATCACCTATCACGTAAAAACTAAGATATCCAAATACATTGAAAAATAGATATTTACTATCATTCTTTTTCCTTTGCATTTTCCCAAGCACAACTGAACATAAGAATAATTGTTTTCCATAACATTATTTCCATTTCCCACACTATTTATGCGACCTAAAGTCTACACATGCCCTTGATCTAAAAAAGGACAAGAAGCAAATCAAAACTAAAAGGTGGGTAGTTACATACTGTGTTTCAAATGTGATGTTGTAGAGGGGAGCCTTTGTTTAGGAACAAGGTTGTGGCACTGAGTAGACCTGAACTAAATAAAGAAAAACTAGTTTCAAAACAATCATTTTAAGTGATATTGTTGGCCATCACACGCCTACCACAGCACCCTTCTCCTTTATCCTGGCTTGGGACAGGCATGATCAGGGACGGATCTAGCTTTGGCATCCAGGTGGGGCCAAAATGTAATTAAAAACGAATATTCAAAAAAACATTTATTCTGGCAACAAAATCAAAGACAAAAAAAAGATTATAAAAATAAGAGTTTTCATTAAAGTCAAATACAAAAATACCATAATTTTACAACTGTTCTCTACGGGTTTTCATCGATTGATATCATTTGATTATGACATCATTGTCAATTTTCAAGAAGATGTCTTTTTCTACATAAACAATAAGTCTATCATTGAATCAGTCATCACTCATCCGGTTGCTCAACCTATCTTTCACTATATTCATCGCTGAAAATACTCTTTCAACACTTGCGGTTGCAACAGGAAGATTGAAACACAATCTTGAATTCATATCAATACATAAATTTACATAATTTACAATAATATTCATTACAATTTACAAGTTCACAAATAATAATCAAATTCATATCAAGCAAAGCTGTAATTTAGTCTTTAACTTGAATTAAAAACACAAAAAATTTAAAAGATTAAAAAAAATACCTCTTAACCACTTATGACTTTATTGACTTAGGCAGCCCTTTTCCTTTTTTATGTTACGAAAAAACCCCAAATATCCTCTTCTCAAAACTTCAAAAGTATCTGTTATACACAAGAATTTGTTAGTTTACTGAATTTAGGGAAGAAATTGATCAGTAACATTCACCTTACCTTCTTATTAAGAGGGATAGCTTTTAGCTTGTTTGATGACAGAGAGAAATGAGAGGATTTAGAGTAGCAGCCTGCCGCCGCCGTGCGCCGTCCTGTCCTGGCCGTCCGGCAGTGAAGATGGCCGTCGCTCGTCGCCCCGTCGCGGCGTCGCCCGTCTGGAGTTCGTTTGTCGTTTTTGGCGTGGGGTTTTCACGATATCGGCGAAGCAGAAGGAGTAAGGACTGCTCCGCTGCTCTTGCTCTTTCCTTGCGCACGGTTTTTTGGAGTACTCGAACTGGGCCTGATTTTAAAATTTGAGACGGGACCTATTTTATAAACCTACATACTACTACGTAGTTAAAAAAATAAAAAATTTGAGCATGAGCCTGGGCCCTCCCTGCTCTAGGCCCAATCCGCCCCTGGGCATGATACAAAAAATAACTAACACATCTTGTTCTTAAAATTGATAAAAGAATGAAATTGTGTAGAAATATTCATTCAAAATCTCATTTGGACATTTTACAAACATATTATCGACATACATATTATAGACATGTCTAAACTAAAAATTACAGTAATTAATTAGGACATATCATGTTTTATCAGAAATTTATAGGAAATACACAACTCGTAGATGGAACCATATCTGACAGCTGCAACCTAAGTCAAAAAGTATTTAGTTAATGTAAATAGAAAAATCGAGATTTTACCTACGATGGAAGAGAGCTGATTGTCGGTTTTGAAGAGCAGCAATCGTCCTCTTCGTTGGTTGATGCAGAGTAGTGCGTCGTCTTCGTGTGTCGAGTGTGAATGTAGAACAGTGCATCGTCATCGTGTGTCGAGTGTGAATGTAGAGCAGTGCATCGTCATCGTGTGTTGAGTGTTAATGGAGAGCATCAGTCGTCGTCTGAAATCGAGTTTAGGTCGTCTTCGGCTATTCGTTGAGTGAATCCGAAGAAGAAACTAACAATCGGGACTACTCCTGTTCAATGAATACTCCGTAGCATTTGAATAAACTTACGAAGTACAATACCCTTTTCTTAAAGGTTAAAAATCAGCTGACATAGAAGAGTATTTTTTTAAATTACAAAAGATACCCCATTTGTAAATTAAGTTTGCAGAAATTATTAAAATGGCCCTATTTTTGTTAACTATGTCGGTTCTTTTTATAACCATTATAGATGATAGTTTATATTTATAGAACTTACCCTGTTGAACTTACTTGAATTTTCATTATTTATAAATATGACCTCGTGCCTACATTTAATAACGGTCCTGAATGGACCATATTAAAACCTAGTTATAGAATGTATATTTTGCACTAGTGAATAATAAGATGGAAGGTATGCTTTGGTATGACCAATACCTCCAACAAACATGAGGGGTATTTTTGTATCTTTTAGATGTTTAGAGGTATATATGCACTTTCATATAAATTTCAGGGGCATATTTGTTCCAAAAAACAGAACATGGCTATATTTGTACATTTTCCTTTAATTCATTAATTGTTTGCCCAGTTCCCTTGGTTAACCGAGTCAGACCATTTACCATTTTTGGTGAGGCGTAGTTCGGCGGTAGTAAAGGTGGTGGCGGAACTCCAGCGACTGACAATGGTGGATTGTAGCTTTTTTGCACCGTAGCTCTGGCGATTTATGGTGGCAATTCGGCGGTGGCAGGTGGCACTAGGTGGCAATGGGCTGATAATGGTGATGTATATATGTATAAATGTATAATGGATGTTTATATATTTAATATATAATATGATAATTTTGACATTTGTGCACAGAGTAGATTGAATAAAAGTACATACTCTCTCTGCCTAGCTCATAGGGAGGTTCCCGTGGATAAATGACCCGATTTTTTAGACATGTGATTAAGTAAAGTGATGTGAGTTTTCTCGTACTTAAAAATATGTAGTAGAATAGTGGTGTAAGTATGAGTATCATCTCCTAAAGGACTTATTCAGGTGGGATAGATGATTTAATCAATTCAACGGGTGACTAATGCCTTCATCCTCTCAACAACTAACTCATCGTGCATCAATTTAAGCCTAAACACATTAAGGATGTCCTAAAAACATTGTCAACTCACTAGCCAGCTCACAAAGACACAGTTTAAAGAAAAAAATTCAAAAATTTTGACATGACTTCCCTATGAATATGCCATTAACACCTGTGCATGCTAACTCTAGTAATCCCATGTGACAACTACTGCCCGAATGCCCAATTCACTTCCTCACACTTAAACTTTGGCATCACATTTGATTACCAAAAATGCACTATGCACATGGGGGTAAAGAGGAAAGTGTCACGTGTGCTCAACTTAACTCAAGTCAATTATTACAAACAGGCGAGTATAAGAGTCATATGAACTTCCCTAAGGCGCTAGCTGGTCGGTGTAGAACAAAACTGAGTCAAGTAATCCGCGGCGCATCATCCCTAAAAGCGCACACAGAGCTGCAAAACAAACACAAAACAAAAACAACTAACTAAACAAAAACAAATGCAGAAATACGCTCAAGTTGCATCCCGAGAAGCGCTATTTTTAACGTCGTGTGCCCAACGATACCTCATATGCTCTCAAATAGCAAAGACCGTAATGGTGCACTAAGTTTCAAAGCTTCTAACTTTCGCTCCACAAATGCAATTAAGTGGCGCAGGCCTCTAAATTCTCGAGTCCACATAGGCAACACATGTTCTTCATAACTCTCATGTTCAAAGTGCATCACAAACGCCTCTTTTCCTCTCTCGAATGTACCATGAAAATATTGAGTACCTCCTCTTGACTCGCTATCACTCTCCATGAAGGCATCCCAATTCATTTTGTCACTCTTCTTATTAATGTGTTCTCGGATGATGTTGTCACTCTCCACACAAAAAGGAATATCATCATCAAGGAGTGAATCAAAGAAATCCAAATCTGAAACCACACAAGATTGAATCGGTGCATGTGTACAAGAGGGGTAATCATGCTTGTGGAGCAGGACTTCTTCATTATGGACATCATCTATCTCGCCCCCACTCTGTTGGAGCTTGTGATCATCTTCTCCCAACTCATCTTCAATACTCAAACCCACCTCAGTAGCACCATCATCATGACTGGTCTGCTCCATGCCCTCATCAGATGTTAAGACTAATGGTAAATCAAACGGCTCGGGAGTTTCTGTATGAAGATCACAGTGTTCTGTGACTTCATCAGTTACAGCTTGTACTGTTTGAAACTTTTTCCTGTAATCCGAATAAAAGCTATTTGCTGCGGTTATTTTTACCTATTTGCTGTGGTTCTGAACTGCAGCAATTGGCAGGGCAACAAATAGTAGGAAGACTTATTTGAACTTATTTCTATTGCAAGCATTGTGAATGTGGGCAAGAAAGTGAATTGAGTTTTTGAGACTTATTTTGGAATGGTTCTAGGGTTCTATTATGAACGGACAATATTTTTTCATATTTTGAGACTCAAGAAAAGTAGTATGATATGATGGGTTTTTCAAGCACTAAATTGTCTCCGAGGATGCTAAATTATATTTTCTCTTGACTATTAAAAACTTAATAATGCAAATCAGTGGTGATGAATCTTTCATTACTTATTCCCTTAGAACTATTTTAACCACTATGGCTATCTTCCTGCAGAAAAAATGATGAATCTTTGAGTGTAGAATAAAACAAAGAAGTGTGATGAATCTTTTAAGAAAATGGAGAACCTCAATTGCAGGTTGGACAATCTGATTCGCAACATTTGTAGAGACAAACCGAAGCAATGAGATGTGGCACAGAATTTGTAGAGACAAACCGAAGCAATGAGATTTGGCACTTGTACAGGCCAAGCTTGCGTATAATTATGCAGTCTATTAAGCTACTTGCCAACACCCTTTCTCTTTGATTTACAGGCAGCCTCTAGACATGTGTTGGATTTAGCAAGATTTCCTAAATATGGCTCGAGTGTAGCATAAGAGAATATGATAACTCAAGTATGTGATATAAAGACCGATGCTTAAGCAAGACTTGAAGCAAAAAAAATGAGAAATACAAGAAAATTGTTGATATAAAACATGCCAAAAGTTGTTTAAAGAAAGCGACCAGGTGATAATATTTTCAAGGAAGGAGAGATTTCTGTCAGTCTTCAACAAGCTGAAGAGGAGGAAAAATGATCCTTACAAGTTTTTGAAAAAGATTGATGATAATGCATATGCAATTGATCTTCCTGAAGACATGAATATTTCGAAGACTTTCAATGTGGTGGATCTATACGAGTTTCTTTAGGACTCAAGGGTGAGTTTTTCACAGCTAGAGGGACTGATGTAGTAGGACAAGAAGCAGCTGCTTTTGAAGAAAAGCCCGACAGAAAATGAGTTGCGTGAAAATGGGGATAAAAATCACCTCGGTGCTCCGTCTGAGGCCCGCAAGATATCAAGATTGACTTCCCATTTTTTGATGGATTCCAAATTTGTTTTTTAAAGAACACATTGGTGTTATTTGTTTTCGGGGTCTATTTACCAAAGAACTTATTGATAACATCATCATAATCGTCAGTACCCCATTTCCACAAGGGCTCCCACCTACGGTGGGGTAAGGGGGTCGGTCGGATGTACTCATGTATGTAGTCTTACCCCTGTACTAAAATAAAGACAAATTGTTTCTGGAGGGCTCATAGTGAAAATCGTGTCGAAAATTGCATGGACTGACTGTTGCTTCATAACAAAGAAGTGCAGACAGTTTAGTGAGTTATTTTGCTTTATTCCATTATATACCTAAGCCAAAAAACAATGAGTATTCCACTCCATTGCAAGTGATTTAAAGAAACTTATTCATAACAATAAGAAATAAATGCAATATGTGGCTAGATTTCATTTTTTTGCTTCTGAGCCAAAGATTTCTCAACACATAAATGAAAGAGAATAAAACTTTACTTGACATAGGTCATTCTCAAGTTGTTTTATCTTTAAAAAATCTAATTGTCCATATTCATGATGGACATTTACATGTCTTCAAAAAATAAATTTAGTTCCAATTCTATACTGCATTTTAACCTATGTCTAATGCCTGATTGATTTTGAAATTTTGATGTTACATGCTAATTGTTTGATAATGTCCTTAAGTTTAGGGGAAACTAATTTAAATACCCCAAACTTTAATGGGGTGTGAGGTATGTACTCCAAACTTGCACATGTAATATATATACCCCGAACATTATATAAAAAGTTATTTTTGCACCATGATTGTATGTTTTTTTACAAATACAAATTTATTGGAATAATTACATAATTTAACATGCTCTTAAGCTTTGTTAGAATATGAAGTTAACAT